TACCGAGCTTAAAATTCACCATCTTTATTAACTTATATAAAACAAATAGATTCCATGTTGCCTGCGTCTGTTCAGTAATAGATCACAGAAGACGTCAAAATGTGGTAAGAATATCAGTGGCTATCGTCTCGTGTGCCACCTTTTTGTTCTTACCACATTTTGAAGTCATCTGTGATCTATTACTGAACAGACGCACGGTAACATGGAATCTACAGTATTTGCTAAATAGATGCACGCGAGAGGTTGCTAAGCATGAAAGAAGCATAATAGTCGCACGAGGCGATAGCCGAGTGCGACTCTAGCTTCTTGAGTGCGTAGCAAACCTCCCAAGTGCATCCATAACTCGATAATCGTACGCTGCACGCTTACTATTTCTTATATATAACATTGAGACTTTAAAAACGGAAGTATTTATTGACTCTCGCCCTGCTTACATGATAAAAGCATGATCAACCGCGCGAAAATGTTCATTCAAACATTTGACAAAGCGACAAAATAACATTTTTCTTGGATTGAGGTGAGTTAGTTTACGGTTTCTCGAAATAAACAACTTCAAACTGCTCAAGTAATCTAAATATCAAGCTAACAACAAACAAAAATTGCTGTCGGTAAAAGCGTTTCTCAAAAGTTAGTAAAATTTAGATCGGTGTTCCCAAGACTGAAATAATTCATCCGAGGCTACCAATGTTTGAAAAAAACTTCTTTTATTAAAGCTAAGTAAAAGCATTATCTTAAACGTTTTCGCAACAGAATAAGTTCGTATGCAATGCTTCACTTAAAACAGAAATTTAGTAAAACTCTCATGTACAAGTCTTGCTCGCCGAACATTTAAATGGCTTTCGACGCCAGAAAAGTTTTAAAATGAAAGCTTGTGCTGAATTTTATTGTCGCCAAATCGCTGAAAAATCCTCTCTAAAAATCCCGCTATGCATTGCTAACCTCAAAAGGTTGGTACAGACCAGTTTGGTGTTGTTTTTTTTGGTCTATCTCCGAGTACCGAGTGCCTCTGTTCAACCAGCTGATTCAACTCTTCCTCGCTTAAATTAGCAAATCGCTTATTAGGTGGAGGCTTGAGCTCAAAATTTGGTAACTCACAGGAATAATCTTCCTCATCTCCGGAAGAATTGTTAGATTTTTCCATATTTTAGGAGCAGAAAAATAGGATTTATGTTTCGTGAAAAAAATTGCTGAGAAAAAGTACAAATAAACAAACTGAAGTGAGCGTGCAACCCACGGGCAAATGGATCGAGCTTATTAGCCAATCAGGACGTTGCTTGAATGCTTTTAAAGCCACAAGAATTCAAAGTTGGTGGATACCTCTAAAACACCCTCTGGTATGAGTGGGGTTAAGGCGTACGCAAATTGGTTGAATTTTTCCAATACATGGGAAGAAATGTGTTGGGTAATCTGGTAATGAAATTGTAGTATCAAAAAAAAAAGGCAAATTTGTAGGCCGTGTAAAATTAAGGATTGATATCATGCGTGTTTTCCTAAGTCGCAAACCCGAGTCATGGGACAAGGGCAATTTCTGCAACTTACGCCGAAAATGTGATTACTTGTTTTACAACAAAGAGAGCAAAATTTGTTTTATTACAAGGTCAAAATTGCGGGCTGTTGCGTAATTTGGTAGGAAACCATTTCAGTCTTATCATTCAGCTGAGGTTAGCAAAGGTAATTTATTTTTGTGCAACAACACCAGGGATTAATTTCACAACAGTTACTACTTAAATTGCGTTTATAACTGCGATGATCAATCATGCCTTGATATCTTTCTTCGTTCGAACTATTTTATTTTTCATATATTGACTTGTATCTTTACCATCTACGGGTATATTGTGAACTCACAACTTGACCAGCTCCCAGTTGGCTTGATAGCTCAGTTGGTAGAACATTGCACCGATTTCGCAGAGGTCGTGGGTTCGAGTCCCGTTCAATCTTAATTTTTTTTTCAGGCTTTAATTTCACAACTGGTTAAGTTTTGTTTATAACTGCGATTATCAATCATGCCTTCATATATTTCTCTGTAGTTCAAATATATGATCTTTCACGTATATATTCACTTGTATTCTTCACCATCTACGGGTACATTACGAACTCACAACTTGGCCAGTTCCCACTTGGCTTGATAACTCAGTTGGTAGAGCTCTGCACCGGTATCGTAGAGGTCATGGGTTCGATCCCACTCAATTCAACGGGAATCTAAATTAAATTTGGGGACAGAGCCCTGTAACAACATAGCTGCCTTTACAAAATGGAGTTACTTTTTGTGCCCAAAATGTTTCCCTATCTAGTTCACAAAGTACGGATAAAAATGATTTCTAAGTTTATGTCACTAATATTACTCAATTGACAATTCTAGTTCGTCCGGGCATACCTTCTATGCAGGAACTAGAAGAACTTTCAGTCCAACTTGGTACAAAGTGGCGTCATCTTGCCCGTATACTTAGAGTAGGAGAAGCGTCAATCAGTAAGCTTGACAACGTGCGTGACGAATTGTCAGAAAAGGCTTATCGCATCTTGACGCACTGGACACAAAAGGAGGGATCGTCGGCAACTTACCAAGTATTATTTAACGCACTAGCTGACGAGCGTGTAAATCTTAAAGATGTAGCTGAGCAATTTTGCCTATCAAATGAGCCTGAGGCTTCATCAGACTCAACAGTACCGCCAGAGATCCTGGTCCAGGGACGTGAAGCCGTGCTCGCTTTTCAAAATGCCATGCGGAATGGAAGAGTTAAGGTTCACCGTGGTCGTATTATGTTCATAGGTCAAGATCGTGCAGGAAAAACAAGTCTGAAGAAAGCGCTTCTTGGTATTGATTTCAACCCTCATGAAAATAGCACTGTAGGAGTTGAAGTTGATCCATCGAAATTTGAATTTGATGTTGATCAAATTAAGAACTGGCGGCGCACAGAGCAGACTAACCTTGACGCTTCTGAGTTCTCTGAAAATATAGCAATGATGGTCGCCAAACGCTTGACGGAGGTTACTGCTGACCAGGATTTGCTGGAGCAGGTAATAGTCATAATAATAGACGTTAGATCAGAATACTCCTCAGCTCTCTGATTTTACCTGTCTTTTTACCTCTTTCTCTTCTCATACCCAATTCAAGTTATCTGAGTTCGGTGTTTCCGCATTTACACAAAATGCTTTTTATTAAAATAATTAGCTGATATTGTTAAAATTTATCCATAACATTCAGACAGAAAACATGCATTGAGTTAGATATTTAGCCAAGTCTGTGTTATGCTTGAGCTATTGGTTTTTCTTGGTCTTTAGTACTATTATTATCTTCATACTTGAACAAGTCACTAATATATTTTCTTTCCTAGGATTGTCTAATTTTCGTCAGTATTAATTGTGCAATGAAAGACTTAAGAATTAAAAACAAGTTACAAAGTTTAACGCAGTTGTGAAGAAAATGTGAAAACATCTATATCTTACTGCAATGAAACAATCAGTACTTTAAGTAACAGCTTTGTTAGTTTAGAGTCTGTTCCATAACCTTCAAAAACAGGAAAGAAAGACATCTAACCACTGCTGGGCTTAATTTCGATTTTCGTAGGGGTAGACTGCAATCAGCCTGTTTTCCTCGTTAATCCGTGCAGCAAACGGGATAAAAGCCAGCCAGCGCGATCAGCGAGCGGCGAGCAGNCTTCTCATACCCAATTCAAGTTATCTGAGTTCGGTGTTTCCGCATTTACACAAAATGCTTTTTATTAAAATAATTAGTTGATATTATTAAAATTTATCCATGACATTCAGACGGAAAACATGCATTGAATTAAATATTTAGCCAAGTCTGTGTTATGCTTGAGCTATTGGTTTTTCTTGGTCTTTAGTACTATAATATCATCTTCATACTTGAACAAGTCACTAATATATTTTCTTTCCTAGGATTGTCTAATCTTCGTCAGTATTAATTGTGCAATGAAAGACTTAAGAATTAAAAACAAGTTACAAAGTTTAACGCAGTTGTGAAGAAAATGTGCAAACATCTATATCTTACTGCAATGAAACAATCAATACTTTAAGTAACAGCTTTGTTAGTTTAGAGTCTGTTCCATAACCTTCAAACACAGGAAAGAAAGACATCTAACCACTGCCGGACTTAATTTCGATTTTCGTAGAGGTAGACTGCAATCAGCCTGTTTTCCTCGTTAATCCGTGCAGCAAACGGGATAGAAGCCAGCCAGCGCGATCAGCGAGCGGCGAGCAGCGAAGCCACAATCTGCGCATTGTGTGGACTATATTTNAGTCACTAATATATTTTCTTTCCTAGGATTGTCTAATTTTCGTCAGTATTAATTGTGCAATGAAAGACTTAAGAATTAAAAACAAGTTACAAAGTTTAACGCAGTTGTGAAGAAAATGTGAAAACATCTATATCTTACTGCAATGAAACAATCAGTACTTTAAGTAACAGCTTTGTTAGTTTAGAGTCTGTTCCATAACCTTCAAAAACAGGAAAGAAAGACATCTAACCACTGCTGGGCTTAATTTCGATTTTCGTAGGGGTAGACTGCAATCAGCCTGTTTTCCTCGTTAATCCGTGCAGCAAACGGGATAAAAGCCAGCCAGCGCGATCAGCGAGCGGCGAGCAGTGAAGCCACGATCTGCGCATTGTGTGGACTACATTTTTGTTATTGAGTTATTCGGAATTACGCCCGCAGCTCATTGACACTTCAGTCCATTCTCCTTTGTTGCGAAAAATTGGCGGGCAGATAGCCTATAGAGAGAAAATGATTTGTTTGGAATGGATTATAGCTATCTGATTTGATGTTCCTCGCGGATTTTACGGAATTTTCGGTGTGAATAGCTCGCTTTTCGGAAGTTCGAAAATTTCCGGATTTGCGGAAACTTTGCCAGGAAATTTCTGGGTTATTTGTTCCCGTTTCAAAATTTTCGGGTTTTTTGGCTGAATGGAAAGCGCCCATGATCTTTCGTATATTCAGTTGTATTCTTCACCGTCTACGGGTACATTACGAAATCAAAGAGTGATCAGCTCCCAGTTGACTTGATTGCTCAGCTGGTAAAGCACTGCACCGGTATTGCTCAGGTCATGAGTTCGAATTCCATTCAAACCTGGATTTTTTCAGGCCCTAGTTTCACATTTCGCGTAAATTGTGTGCGTGACTGCAAGAAACCCTAAAATAGCAGAAGCGAAACGCCCAGCATTCAAAACAGACAAAGAATTATCGACTTCAAATCTTTGTGGTTTTTACAACCTGATGCCCGCGCGACTTGTACAATTTGCAGGCAATCGTAGCACGCGGTACTGGGTTGTGGAGGAACTGTTTATTAGTAAGGCACCTTCAGTAGAACTTGGCATTCAATATTTACTGCATAACCGTGTACTGTTTATAACCAGTAAAACCGAAAACTCTTGGCAAGGGTGTTTGAGTAATATGTCATATCAGGGATCTTGGGCTGATGCAATTATAATTTAGCAGTGGCCAGTTTTCTTTATTGATCAATTCATATTGCTGAATCAAATAAAACCTTTTTGCCCCATTTACTTTTGTTCATATTTGCCATATAGGGGAAACTCATTACGTGGCTACGGTAAATCTGATAAAATAAAAAAATTTACAATAATTACAGAGGTTCTCGCGCGCTCATTGCCTAATTTTCATTGTCAATCAGCGAACAGACACGTGAATTTATAATTTATGCGATACGGCAACGAGCGAGAGCGGACAATTTGACAATTTGTTATTGTAAAAAACAAATTGACGTCAGTTTTTCACGCGTCTGTCCTGTTACTGACAATGAATTTCATCATAACATTGTCAAAGTAGTCTACGGATCCACAGCTACTTTGACAATGTTATGACGAACTTTATGATCAATAACAGGACAGACGCATGAAAAACTGACGTCAGTTTGTTAAACAGAGAGCTTACATAAAAGAATTCATGAAAAAAGTAGCTGATCCAGAGTATAGGAAAAGAGAGAATGAAAAATTGCTGGAAAGTAAACACAGCAATACTGATACAGCTAGTGGAGAAAAACAACTTTGCTGCCAGAAAAAAAGAAAAAGAGAAAATGACCAGTGCAGAACCTTTTTTCGAACATGTAAGGGAAATTGGCAAGACAGTGTAAAAGGCATTATATAATAACCCAAGTTATTCTCGCATTGAGGACAGACGCACGATTGACGTCATCATTTCAAAGTTTTTCC